TACAAGAACAGCCCAAGAACAGAAGCTCACTGAAAGAGGCAGCAGATGCGTGGAGTCCCACAGCTATTCCAACCAGGGTTGGAGACACGGTGTGTACCTCACCTCAACGTGCTCTGGAGAATTTTCCTGAGAAGGATAACCATGCCATCACAACCCTCAACTGCATCAGCTTCACAGCACGAACCAGAGTAAACCAACAGACGCCAGAGCGAAGGGCCAAAGGGTATCTTGAAAGCAGCGCAACGGAAGATCGTGGTTCTCTTTGCACACTTCTAATGCTGGATTTGTGACGTTCCTCTCCAAAGGTTCACTGACAGCACAGCGATCACAGTCCCACTCTGTCCGGCTGATGTGGTTGCATCTATAGACTGCTCATTAACAACCCTGCATAGAAAAACAGGAGCAAGAAATCATCACCAGTCTGCAAAACTTCGGATGACACTTATCCATAGTGGGAATTTGAGTATGACAGGGAGTGACAACATCTGAGCAGGACTGGTGCAAGTTGGTTTAGATGGCCTTAGAGAGCTCTTTGCGTTGGCAGATTCGATGAACATGAATGATGAAGCTGCTGGCCAAAGCAATGCAGATCACTCAGCTTCCATTCTCTGCCACAAGAACGATGAAAGCGCTGATGAGGAACTTTGGGGATTGAACGCAGTGCAGACTCTTCGCCGCAGCCAACTTGAAGCAGTGGGCCCGCCTTTGAAAGCAAATGCTGGGGGTAGTCCGTCGACGCTCTGGTGTTAGAGTGGACTTACTCAAGAGGCTAAGAATGTATGCACAAGAAGAACAAGAAGGCACATCGTGGGTCCACCACCATCGCTGAAGCTCCAAGGAGGAGTTACCCAATATCTGCGCACTGATGGACCTACTGCTGAGTATTCCAGCCAGCTCAGCAGAAGCAGAGCGCGGGTTCAGCGCACTTAAGTGTGTGAAGAGCTCTCTCCGCACTTACCCTCAAGGATGCAAGTGTCACCGACTGCTATTCTCTCATTCTTCATTCCCCAAGGTGTTGCACAATTTGACCCGTATATCCAGCCCGTCAACCTGTGGCTTATACTTCGGCGAATCCCGATCACGGGCGGCCAGAATGGGTGCAAAAGAGACCAGCAGCTGAGGCCAGACTCCTGAGTGGGTCTGACTCCATGTTCAGAAATTAAGTTCTGATTCAAATCAGAAAGGTCAGATGACAGTTCACACCTGACATTGAGATGATTGAAAGACAGTTTTATTGACGATCTTAATGACATGTCGGATGAGCTTCTGCTTAAGCTTATGAAAGATACTGCCAGAGAATTTGAAAGCTTTTTAGATAATTTGGAAACTTATTTAACCAGTCAGGGTTTTTGTTCTTCTTCTATTGTTGTTGTCGTAATCTAGTTATGTGTATTTAGCCGATTATTTGCGCAAAAACAGCATTACCCATAGTTAGGATACAAATAAATTATTGGCGCCACACTGAAAATCCCATTATGGGCCACCTGATCTCATACTCAACGTGGCCCGGCCGGCCACGCTGCAAAAAAAGTTAGGTCGCAGCCCTTGCGAGCTGTTAGGCAGTGCTTCAATATACTCCAAAATTCACAGAAACCATAGCTAAAGACAGTCTTGTGTTAGTACTGCTGCTTCAATAATATACTCCAAATTCAGCAGAAACCATAGGCTCAAAGACATGTGTTTATATTGTATCTAGAAGTTGTTATAAATGTAAGCTCAAATACGTTTGCGAGATCACTAGTTATAATAGCTAAGAGTATCATAGATACCGAGTATGACACGGTATTAACAGCGTATTTGCATAGTTTTCAACTGTGTAAAATATTCTAGTCATTAGCCTGTGAAGTCCAGCTATTGCGAATAGCGGTGTGGTGTCGTCTATGATTCTCCATAATCATAATGATCTACCTATATATAATCTAGTAAAATTCGTATGTTTTTTTCTTCTTCAAAAATAGTTATTTGAATACGACACGGTTTCCGCACAGTTTTCACACCATGGATGCATGTTTTAGACCAAACTGTTGATAATGGATTATGGTTCCATTGTCTATGGCGGGTGACGTGGGGGCCGCTAAGGGAATCAGCTGCTAGTAGCTGGCCGTGAGCACATTTATTTTTAGCACCGCTGGAAACGGCTGCACGCTGAACAATACAATCGATGCCTAATATCCCTTACGGCCCCGCAAAAGTTCCATCATAGACAATAGAACACTAATCCTTGATGGAAAGTTTAGTCTAAAACATGCATCCATGCATGAAAACTGTGCAAAACCGTGTCGTATTAAGTGACTTTTTTGAAGAACAAATACGTTTCAGGTAAATTTGTGGTGTCATATGATTAAGAGGAGAATCATAGACGAAAACAAGGTAAAGTTTGCAATATATTTATTCACATATTGATAGAATATTTACAAGTTGAAAACTATGCAAAATGCTGTTAAAACTGTGTCATACTCTTCTCTATGATTGTACTCTTGGTTAGTAGTACACTTTCCTACTGCCCATAGCCGCGCGTATATTAGCCTATGACGATACCGCGCGTATATTAGCCGATGACGATCTGCAGCGTATTATTAGCCGATGACAATACCGCGCGTACGTATATTTCTCGGTAATTAATTAAAAACTATTCGTGCTTCAATAAACTCAAAATTCACACAAAACACCATAGCTAAGACATGTGTTTATGACATTATGTATCTAGAATTTTAGAAATGTAACTCAAAATCGTTCGCGAGATATTAGAGTTGGGGCGTGTGAAACATCGTCACAAGCTTAACCGGCGAGGCGAGCTCACAGATCTCCAGGAGGGTGAACTCATCCCACGAGCGACGCTCAGGCTTGATCTCCAGACGCGTCAACTCGCCCAACTGCGGGGCAAGTTGGCAGGTGCGGCCGAGTGGACCGCGACACCGCTGTCCAGCAGTACCCTGGGGACATAGACCTATGCCTATGGCTATGAGTATGAGTATGACTATGACTATGAGCGCCACTGGTCGGCCTCAGTGTCAGTGTCAGCAATGATGGATAGGTTTCGTGTGATACTCTAACCTATAGGGAATAAATTTCTAATGACACAGTATAAATTGAGTATATTCTAATTTTTTTTTATATATTATTAATTAGTACTAGCCCTAGGAGTCGGACTAGCCTAGGTAGTCTAGCTCTAGTACTATAGCCGCGCGTACATTGACTGCCGCAGGCTATAGCACATTGTCGGCTGAAATACCAACTACGAACCTGTTACCACCTGTCCCCATGAAAAATGGACGCAAAACGCAAAGTTATCGGGCTTTTAACAATTATTTATCTACATGACATCTCACCTATCTTTTGAACACTTTCAAACAACTTTACAGCCATGTATTTGTCCTTTTATTCTACAAAGTAAGCACACTGGCATTTCATTTTTGAAACGAAGGTGGCGTGCGTACGCGTGACGTTTAACGGATATGTAGCAAAACGCATGGCAGCTATGGTGCATTGTATATACAATACCGGTGACGTCACGCGTTCGCACGGCCATGAATATTTCAAACGGGAATGCCAGTAGTGCCTGACTTTTGAGTAATTAAAGGATAAACACATGGTGTAAAGTTGTGGAAAGTGTTCAAAAAGATAGGTGAGATGTCCATCTAGATAAATAAGTGTTAAAAAGCCCGATAACTTGCGTTTTGCGCACCATTTTTCATGGGACAGGGTGGTAACAGGTCGTAGTTGGTATTTCCAGCCGACAATTTGCTATAGCCTGAGGCAGTCAATGTACGCGTTTATAGTACTACGAGCTAGGCTAGTCTAGCTCTAGTCTAGTACTAATAACTACTATAGCCCGCTTACATTAACTGCCGCTGGCAGCCGCCCAGTTAATGTAAGCGAGTATAGGCCTATAGTACTAGAGCTAAGGTTAGTCTAGCCCGACCCAGGCTGTGCGACGGATTGTCTATACTAGTATAGTTGGTATTCTAACCCTAGCAATACCGTTTCTTGGAGCTAAGGTTAGTCTAGCCTAGTATCTAATAGCCCGCGGATCGCTGCCGCAGGGCTATAGCACATTCTGCCATAGATGTAATCTAAGCAAATGGTCCAACTGATGTGACCAAAAATTTATCCCCAAAACGGTAAAATGATCGGCTTTTTAACACTTATCTATCAACATGGACATCTCACCTATCTTTTTGAACACTTCCACAACTTTACACCAGGTATTTATGCTGTTATTCCTCAAAGTCTTAGCAAGTCATGCGTGCACACATAAGCAGAGCAACCGCATTTGAAAACAAAACACCAGTAGTGCTAAGACTTTGAGGAATAACAGCATAAATACCTGGTGTAAAGTTGTGGAAGTGTTCAAAAAGATAGGTGAGATGTCCATCATCCATGTTGATAGATAAGTGTTAAAAAGCCCGATCATTTTTATTTTTACGTTTTCGGGATAAATTTTTGTTCACATCAGTTGGACCATTTGCTTAGATTACATCTATGGCAGAATGTGCTATAGCCCTGCGGCAGCGATCCGCGGGCTATAGTACTAGAGCTAAGGTTAGTCATGGTTTATTGGTTAGAATTTCAGTTACCCATATTCCATAATTAATGGCCATATTACGGGCATTATACAATATACTATATATATTAAAATTCACAACATAATCGTTTAACTATGACTAGGCCTATATTGTATACACACAATCATATGAATAGGGAAACGCCATTGTTAGGATCCAAGTAGTACCTGAATTCTATGCCTGAATCCCAATCACTGTGTGCGGTGTCGCGAACGAATGAATTTTAACACTTTCGATGCCATTTTTATTGCCGTGCCCGCCATCTAACGACGCATATAATAAACTACGCATATAATTTCGTTAGGGGAGAATATTTCTCAAACTGGTGGTTAGGGGGTTAATTAACACTACGATTAAAATATATAACAAGATAATTATATACATAAATATATCTATATGGGCCTATATATAAATATATATATTATACACACGTACTGGGTGAAATTTGCCCTCACAAAACGCCGAATCCATTTTCTTGAGCAAATTTCCCAGGGTCCCAGCAGGAACCAACCCCGGGGGGGACCCGCCTCGAAACTGGATAGGGGGGTGCCTCGGGGACCTTGAAAACCTGACCCTGTCGCAAACCGCTTTGCGCCCTAGAATACACCCTGTCCAAATATACTGCACTAAAAAGTATAGAGTCAGTATACCCTTTGGCAATATTGCACACATGTAGCAGCATATATGTAGCACATATGTAGCAGTGCTACCTTTAGCAGCATATATTAATTGTCCTACCTGTAGCAGTATATATTAATTTTCCTACCTGTACGTAGCAGCATATATTAATTGTCCTACCTGTAGCAGTATATATTAATTGTCCTACCTGTAGCAGTATATATTCATATTGTCCTGCCTGTAGCAGTATATATTAATTGTCTTCCCTCTAGCAATATATATTAATTGTCCTGCCTGTAGCAGTATATATATTAATTGTCCTACCTAGCTGTAGCCTATATATTAATTTTCCTACCTGTAGCCTATATATTAATTGTTCTACCTGTAGCCGTACATAGGCAGTATACACTTTATTCATTTACTCACTTTATTAACTTTATTCATGCACTTTACTCACTTTATTCACTGTACGCATAACACTTTACTCACCTATACTTTAAATACAGCGCTGCAGTATACACTTTGTACATGCTCTATGTTTATTATATAAACGCTCAGCTCAGTAGGCCTACACAGGCACTTGGAACGTCTCAATAAAATAAAATAAAAGGTAAATAAACACAAAATGTATTTACTACCAAAGTCTTAATGTTTCTCTACTCTATTAATTTCGCCTATAATCACCTGTAAATGCCGGTTAAATGCTCATCTGCAACACACAAGTACACCGCACGCTAGCTGCTGCACACTGACACATAAATATATAGTTATTTATATTAAATAACTATATATTTATGTGTCAGTGTACAGTAGCTAGCGCTAGCGTGCGGTGTACTTGTGTGTTGCAGATGAGCATTTGACCGGCATTTACAGGTGATTATATAGGCGAAATCGAGTAGAGAAACATTAAGAACTAGAGCACTCGGAGAGCGCAGACCTCCGCCAAGGCAGCTCAATTCTCTCACTGTGAAATTTTTTATTAATTAATTAATTAATTAAATAGTTAATTGGATCCTATTCACCATCAAAATGTCATCAATTCTAAGTTACCCTATTTCTGACCTATCCTAAAAAAAATTATTAATTAATTAATTGGATCCGGATCACCACCAAAATCTAATCAATTCTAAGTTAGCCCATGCATTTCTGACCTATCCTGAAAATTTTATGACAATCCCTCCATAACTTTTTCAGTTAGGCTGTACACAAACAAACCCACAAACCAACAAACACACGCGCGCGTACGCCGAACAAACACACGCCGGTGAAAACATAACCTCGTGCCCACCCCTTGGCGGAGGTAATAAGACTTTGGTAGTAAATACATTTCGTGTTTATAATATTTACCTTTTTTTATTGAGACGTTCTAAGTGCCTGTGACTCAGTGGACTGTCCACTGTCTCCGGTTTAACCCCAAGAACAATATATACATTTATATACAATATATACAATATACAAGTACACAATAGGCGCGTTCACACACAAGAAAAACCGCGATGCTAATCGCGATGAAATACCGAGATAATTGTGTCGTTGTTCACACAGGCGAATCAATAATCGCGCTAATCGCCGAGCGGGATAATTCTATTAATAGAACTGCTCATGCTCACTGCCGGAATGATGCTCACTGCGCATGCTCACCCTGAAAGGGATAGAAAAGACCGGATATTGCGCGAGCGTTCACGACACGCAAATAATCGCGCTAATCCAAAAGCGAGCGTTCACACACGCACATAATCGCGCAATTCCAAACGAGCGTTCCACACACCAAATAATCGCGCTAATTCCAACTCAATCCGCAGCTCAAAAGTGCGATTTCAGCGCGATCGATCGCGATTATATGAGAATGCGCACACGAATAATTCTCAGTATTTCGACGCGATGCAAAAACCGGATGTGAATCCCGCTTATTCGCCGCCCGTGTGAACGCGCCTAATATATAATAACGCAATATATACAATATATACTATATATATACAATAATATCAAGTACACATATACAATATACAATAAACAATACAGTAAATACAATCTCTTTCTCTTCTCTTCTCCGTCACTACACACACTCGCCCAGCCACTGCAGCACACAGGGACTTGGCACGGTGGTTGAAAGCCTCAAGGTCTCCAGAACATGGCTCTGGCAATAAGGCATTTCAGGAGATGTCTCATAGTCTGGTCCTCCCCGCAGTCGCATTCGCATGGACGCATCTCAGTGTATGCCCATTCTGCATGAGTGCCCTAATCACGACAAAACCTGTCCCGAGGCGATTTAGGCACAAAACCACGTCGCCATACCTCGGGCTCCGGCGCGAGGAGTCCGGCAGAAGGAAAGCTATTGCGCCCTGAAGATGCGAACCATTGGCCTAGTATATACAATAATAGGCGCATTCACACTCGCGCGAATTAGCGGGATGCAAATCCCGGTTTTTGCATCGCGATCGAAATACCGAGATTATTACAAGTGTGAACGCAATAATCTCACTAATAATCGCGATCAGCATCGCGCTCCAAATCGCACCTTTGACTGCGATTATTTGGAATTAGCGCGATTATTTTCGTGTGTGAACGCTCGCGCAAATAATCCCGGTATTTTCTATCCCATCATTCCAAGCGAGTGAGCAGTGAGCATGCGCAGTGAGCATCATTCCGGCAGTGAGCATGCGCAGTTCGATTAATAGAATTATCCCGCTCGGCGATTAGCGAGATATTTCCGCCTGTGTGAGCAACGACACAATTATCTCGGTTATTCCATCGCGATTAGCATCGCGGTTTTTCTTGTGTGTGAACACGCCTAATATTCAGCGCCGGATTAACAGTTGCCTGGGCCGGGGGCATATCATATATTTGGGAGTGAGCATCATTCCGGCAGTGAGCATGCGCAGTTCGATTAATAGAATTATCCCGCTCGGCGATTAGCGAGATATTTCCGCCTGTGTGAACAACGACACAATTATCTCGGTATTTCCATCGCGATTAGTATCGCAGTTTTTCTTGTGTGTGAACACGCCTAATATTCAGCGCCGGATTAACAGTTGCCTGGGCCGGGGGCATATCATATATTTGGGCCGCCCATCCAACTGCACCCCTTCCCATAATATATACTTTCAACATTTTATTATTTTAATATGACTTTTTTATACAAAGCACAATTTGTTTACAGAAGCACTTTTACAGAGACACTTTTCGAGATTTAAGTGTAGCAAAGCACGAGATGAGTTCATCCACATCTAACAAGTCCATCATACCATGTTCAAGGGTCAGGAGTGACAGATTAGACATTTTATGTTGTCCCATGCTGGCGCGCAGGTAGTTTTTCACTTTCTTGAGAACACTGAATGATCTCTCACCGCTGCAGTTAGTCATCATCAGAGATAAGAATATTGAGAGCATGGTGCCAACGTTTGGAAGAGAATTTCGAAGTGCTGGGTTTCCCATCATCACGCGATGCATCCAAATCTCTGGAGCATCATTTTTCTTGGAGGACAGGTAGTCACATTCAGATGCAAAATCTGACTTCAGAATGGAGGAAAAGAAGAGGAGTTCACTGGAGAGCTCAGGTTCAAGGTCACTTGGATAACTATCCACCAATACCTTTGCATACTTGTGCATTTCTTCAGCAGAAATGCTAGTTAGCCTTCGAAGGAACCCAAATTTCCCACTGATGGTTGAATAGGCTGCACGGCACTTTGTCAGGGCCAACTGTAGTTTGTCTATGACAGGCAGGAAACTGTCAACACGAAAACGATCCGATGGCGTTTCCACTTCACTATTTTCAGTTGTTCCAGGAGCATCATGATAAAGAACATAGGTATCCATTTGAGTGTTTCGTTTCCGTTTTCGTCGGTTCTCCTCGGGATACTCATTGCTTCCAGTTAGCTCTTGACCCTTCTGTTCGAAGAAGGTGAATCTTGCACGTTGAGAGCCAGTAAATTCTATTAGACTATCAAAGAGGCAAATGGCAGAGTTAAGGTCGATCTTTGGATCTTGGAGCATATAACGTTGGAGAACTTTATCCCAGAGTGAAGCCATGATCCCAGTTTCCAGATTCTCCATGCTGGTTACTAGACCGGTTGCTTCCAAACGACACTCTGGCTTCTGCTTTGTTTCATCTATTAGTTCTTCCAGTGCTTTCTTGATCGCTGAATACCCACACCGTATTGCCTTGGTAGCATCTGCATGTGCATATACCATCTTGTGGCACATAGCCGTTTGACTACTGGAGTATTGGACAAAGCATTAGTGAGCACTTTCCAACGGTAGGTTGATTGTGAGAAGAAGACATACAGCTTTTGCACAAAGTCGAAGAAGCAAATAGCAACAGGGCAACAGTCCACAGCTGATTTCCCAGCTAGATTCAATGAATGTCTTGCACAAGGTATGTACACGGCTAATTTGTTCTTGCCATTGATGAATGCCTGCATACCATTGTAAATGCCACTCATGTTTGAGGCATTGTCATATGATTGACCACGACAATAAGCAAGGTCGATACCTAACTTGTCCAATAGAGATATCAGTACTGTTCCCAAGCTCTCACCAGTATGGCTTTCAATTGGGATGAACTGAAGAAATCGTTCCACAGGCCCAGCAGAAGTGAGATAGCGGAGTGTAACCGTTAATTGATCGCAATGTGTAATGTCAGGTGTTTAATCAACGTAGACTGAATAATATTTGGCAGCCTTTACTTCCAAAACAATGCTATCGAGAACTTTTTGCGCAAGAAGCGCAATCAATTCGTCACATATTGTAGATGACAGGTAGGAAACATGACCACGTCCAGTATTCTCGCCAATATCTAGATGTACATTCTTGTTGCTTCACCAGTTCATGGTCTATCCGGCCTTTCGAATTGGAGCGCATTACCATTAATCGGACAGCATCTAGATGATGATCACTAATTTCGTGCCGGGAGATTGAACGCTCAGCATGCTTCCAATCAGAAAATCCAGTGCAGAAGTGACCACCAGTTTCTTTAGAAAGCAGGACACATGTGAAGCAGAAGAGAGTACCCTTCGAGATCGAGTAACATAGCCAGTCACGAATAACTTGGTTTCTTGTTGGGTTATGAACCCGTGTGAACATTGATCGTGTACAACATCGTTTCACTTTCCCGTCAGTACTCACCGATGCATAAAAAGGGTCCTGACGATGTTGGCAACTTGAGGAACCTTTTGTAATCCAGAAACATCTTGAATCTTCTTTGATGTATTCACGGATCTATAGTCCAAGATCATCTCCTTGTGTTCCTGGAAGCGTGAAACCAGCTTGCTCTTGCTCCTCCTCTGAGTCCTGATCTTCGACATCAATGTCATCAGCACATGGACGATCCAGTTCTTGAACTTTGGGTTCTACGTTGTCGGTTACAAGTTCAGTATTCTCAGTGACAACACCGGTAGAAACAGAACCATCATCACCTTGTGGAGAATTAAGTAGTACTCTTTGGTTTTATGAAAAACCTGTCTATCTTTGGTGTTTTGGATAGTTCTGCATCTAGACGAATCTGTGTCTCTTGTTTTTCTCGCACCTTCTGTGCATCCTTTAGCCTTTTTGTCCATTTTATGCAACAAACAGGAAAAAAAATCTATAATTGACAAACTTATTTCATTCACTAGCCTCGAGAAACAAGGTATATAATTAATAAAATTTGAGAGTGTAGCGTCTTCTGGTGATGATTATGGTGAATAGATAAGCAGATGATCGTAGATAAAGTTGACAATATTTATTCTGCGTTGCATTACATTATGGCCGTAGTGGTACTACTGCTACTGACATCAAGTGGTAGAAATACATAAACATCAGATACATTACTGAACGTGACAGAGAGTATGTATTTAAAGTGAATATTAATCCTAGCTGCTGTAATGTACACCACAAAACACGGAGAAAATGAAAACAAGTAGAAAGCAAAAACAAATGTAGTCATGAAAGTAGTAGGGCCGGCCCAAGATATAGGCCCTACTATAGTCCGGCAGAAAAGATGGCTTTTTTGCTTGAACCTTGCAATTGGGTATAGTAGTTTTTTTATTGGCTCTAAAGTTTGCCTTCATAGTCTACTTCAATGATCCACCAACTGTCCACTCTGGCAGTGGTGGGGAATTTACTCTAACACCGCCTTTATTTAATACTAGGCTGCGGGGTACCGCTCGCGGCTGGGCAAAATTCGTGCTACTAATTCATACTACTAATATCGGACACAATAGGAACATTGGGTGAGAATGGAGAATAACATTTCACACAATATCATATTTACAATCGGTCTAATAAGATAATACAGGCTGGTAAAAAACTGTTACGTATGACATTTATATCACAGCACAACCCAACTTAGAACCCCTGGAACATAATAGTAATATGGGGTAAATGACAAAAAGTACTACTATGTAGAGGGTTTCAAAGGGATCGTACAACAGCGCCTAAGGATGAGGGATGTATATCTCGTCTTTGACAAGTATATTCAATAAAGCACCAAGTGTTCAGCCCGCAAGGCACGGGTCCAGGTGTTGTAGGGTGTTCCAATTACAGGCATCATCACGCGTCCCTCCTCAGAACCAGATTTTAAACATTTCTCAGAACAAGAAAGCAACTGATCCAATTATTTGTGAGGACTTTAAAGGTGACATGGATGTACTGGAGGCCATCCCACACGTTAGTCATTACTGGCCAAGATGAAGTGCCTGTAGAGATTTCTCCATACGGCTTAGTAATTCAGAGAACAGACCTCAAGACAGACCATGAAGAAGCAGACACAATCGTCACAGCACAGGCGATATATGCAGCACAATAAGAGAAGAAGAAAGTCATTGTTGAGGCAGATAACACAGATGTGTACGTTCTGTTGCTGTACCATTACCTCGATAGAGGGCTTAACATCCCTATGATAATGCAGTCACAG